GGGGGGGGGGAAACAAAACTCGGTAAAATTAGTAAGCAAGATACTTGTATTAGCTATGAAAAATTTATTGCCCCTTTAATCACACCCACCATCCCTCATTCTCTTCTCAGAACTGGCTCCTACTGATGATCAAGAAATGATAAAACTATAACTATCAATACCTGTGTTACTAGTGGTATACTTATATGTAATGAATCCGCAGTTAAGGACATTGATGTCTAGGTGTTAAAAGGATTTCTATCAAAGTAACGGTACACCGGCTACGACAGTGATTTTACCAAATGTCTACTTAGGTATTATCATGGCTGCTGTTATTCAAATGCAGTTAGAAACATGAAGACGGCTTAATTTAGCAACAGTGGCGTAAAATGACACCAACTTTGAGTTTGGAAGACCAAAGTTTCATTTTTATTTAGTATCGTGAATTTTGAAAATTTTTTGGGTTTGTATCCTATCACTTTAATTCACCAAAATACAAAGTGATTCCAACCAAAATCATTTCAAATAAACAAATATTTAAACTAGATCCTTTGTAGATGGTGAACTCTTAGATTATAGAGCATGAGAAGTCCAAATGCGAATCTGATTAAAATCGATATTTGTTTAAGCTATTTCAATTATCACAGAATACACCAAAGCATAGCCACTAGAGGGGGGGGGGCCAATTAACTTATTTATAGGTGGTGGGTTTGAAATTCTTTTTTACCGACTATAAAATCCAATAAATAGCCTGCAATTCAGAGTCCTCCAGGAATAATGGTCATCCTCTGGAAAAGATTTGGGACAATTCAGTTGCCTCACGATGGAGTAATTACAAAAGATTCATTTTTCCTTGAACAACTGTTGGAAGGGCTTGAATATAAGCGCAAATTGGTAATTTTTTGCGTACAACTTTCGTAGACATTACAACCTACTTATTCAGCCATTTATCACTTAGACCAAACTGTTCAAAATTTTCAGCATATTGGATAAAATACGCGGTAACGTATTTGAAAAAAAGGTGAGATTTTGAAAAAGAATAGGGATGTTTTTAGTACACGTCCATTGAGGATTCATGATGATATTTAGCGTTTTCTCTCCACAATATTCCAAAGTACGAATTTAAAAAATTTTGGAAACTCATATACAGAGTTTGAAAGCCAGAAAAAAAATACAATGCCCCTAGTCTTCCGGCTTATCTATGTCTTGAACATCAACGGAAGCTGTGGCTTTTAAGCGTTGGTTTTTGGTACCAGCGATTCCGAAATTGGTGAAAAGAAATAAACACATACAGTAAAACTGTTGATGAATCTTATAAGGAGTTGATGGTGACTGTTTCCATAGATAGGGCTCGCATTCACTGTAGACAATGCTAATGGTCGTGCAGTGACTAGCGTGCTCGTGTGAGGTTAGAGATCAATCGTTCATTGTTCATCGTTGAACATATCTAGAAGAGGTGGGGTGGGCGATAGACTTACCTCCACGTGGTGCTCCCTGGGTAACGTATACTCATACGGCAAAAAAGCCTATTAACCGGCAGTTGACTTCTGACTTCAAAATACCGTGACACGACTGCTTGTCATATTCGACCGCTTTCACAGTACTCATCTTACCCTTTTCTCTGCCTTTGTGTCTGTCTGCCTCTTTTACATCTGTGAATCGCTCTTCTGTTCCCCATCCCTCGACTTTCTGCTACATTGATGAACCTTCCCTCTGTGAAACCCGAAGTCAATTAAAGGGCTAATGATAGCTATCAAAACGCCTCCCATTTGAAATAAATAAATAAATAAATATCTAGAAGAGGAAAAGTCCAGCAACACTGCTTGGGTCTACCTAATAAAGAGGGTGGCAGAATTCGATTTCATCTCCTTGGAAGCCCAGAATGGGTGATGCATAAAAAAAGCATGCCTTGATCTGCAACTCACACCTAATGTTAGTAGGTGGAAATTAGGGAAAATTGGATTTGAATAAAAATGTCTATCACTTTTTGTCTCTATCGTGCGTCCCTCATTTTCATTTCAAATGACTTTATTGTCTGACAGTAGACAACTGCCATCCACCCCCAGCCCCTCCTCCTACACCTTCAATTTTAAGCAGCTTGCAAGTCGTTTTCCTTGTGCCCTATTACTCGCTCAATGATGCGTTCTTGAGGGCTGATACCACTATTTTCAAGTACTATTCAGGCAGGTGTGCTAGGTTGTGTGACCCCAATTAACAAAATATTCAATTTGTACAACCACGTTTTCACTCTTCTTCCTATAGTAACGCAATTGTGGGAAACATCAAGGTTCGTTAAACACCAAACGCGGTATATTTCGATTCAGTGGTGGAAGAAGCAAAACGCTTAAACAATATTTCAAGAATTAAAAATAGGTGCAGTGCACTTCCCGTTTCTCAGGTTAGCATTTGGGGGTGGGGGTGGGGGCAGAGAGAGGGTAGGAGATAAGGCGAACTATTCGTTGGTCTTACTGTAAGATTGAAATAATATTACAGGTCAATCTTAATGCCAGTCGATCTTATAATATTCTATAGAAAGCTCAATTGTAGCGTGCTATCATCCAAATTTGAAAAAATGTCCACAAATAGTAGGACTCCAAATGAAATATACTGAGAAGTAAATGTGTTTTCAATATGTTGCTCAGGCATAACGTTTGCCTAATAAATTTAAATTCACAGCAGTAGCAACTCCCCATAAGTATCTTCAGATATATAAATGTCAATGGCAAGAGATACTACTGAAATTCATAAGTACATAACCAAATCGATGAAAGGATTGTCAAATGCCGGTACGGAAACGTAACGACCACATGTTAATTAAATAATTTACACAAGAATAATTATGAGCAAATACGACATTGTAATATCTTCATTCATTCTGTATTCAATTTCACTACCGCATGTACCCGATGAATGACCTACAAAATTTTCCAAGGACTTGAAGAATATTTTTTTCACTTTTTACGACTAAACGAGAGTTTCATTTTGTTATTTTGCCACAAAAATTGGAGCATACACTATTATTGTAATGCTACGAAATATCCAAAATCCTTACTTATTTACTGGGACTGATTATTTTTCCCGAAAGAGCTTTAAAATGCCAATGTTTTCTTATCTCTGAATTTGCACAGATAGTCTGATTATGGTTATTTTCGTTCCAACGAATAGCGCATCATTATATTCAAAATTCCTTAATCTCCCACCTCCCCCCCCCCTCCTCTCTTCGAATGTTCGGACAAACTGGCAAATTTTTAAGTTCCAGAGCGGGGCTCGGCTCAACGAGATTCATTAATGCTTCCTTGTCTGCTGTCATCAGTCACCACTAATTTCATTCAAATGTTAGTGAATAAATCAAGCCGATTCCATTAAACAGCTAAGTGTGTTGATTTGAAACCAAACTGTCTTCTAAGGCAAAGGTATTTCGAAATCGCGCAGACAATAGTGCTGAATAGGCCGGCAGCACTAAGCACCTTGATTAACTTTTCTGTGGCAGAGCACATAGTAAACACAAGCAAGATGTTAAGCTTACTAACATGTGAATGTGGTCTCCTGAATAAATTTACATTGAATATTTAGCAAGAAACCGGTCTCAATTAAAAAACAAGACCCACACTTATAGCAATTACCGCAAAGGAAAACCAAGGACAGTGCAATAGGGTTTATTCTTTATTTATAAATAGTGCGGCAAAGGGCAAACCTATTAGCCCTTAATACATGTCCAGTTGCGAGAATGGGGGGNCAAACTTAATCAGTTCGAATATACAATGAATTAATCGATTTATTCAAATCAAAGTAAGAGAACTACTAGAAGAATTCGACTACATTTGATGTATCACCTCCATTATGTCTGCTGGAAGCTCTCTCAAAATAAGTAAGTTTTAAGTAACCTGTCTTAAAGGTAGGGCAGAATTTGTGACATAAAGACGTTTTGCAGTTAAAACCACACAAACACGACATCACTATGCGTAACTGCTTATTCAACATTTCTTAATATGGGGTGTGCGATAGACTTACCTCCACGTGGTGCACCCTGGGCAACGTATACTCATACGGCAAAAAAGTCTATTAAACGGCAGTTGAGTTTTGACTTCAAACTACCACGACCCCCCTGGTTGTCATTTTGGACCCCTTTCACAGTACTCACCTTACCTTTTTCTCTACCTTTGTGTCTGTCTGCCTCTTTTACATCTGTGAATCGCTCTTCTGTTCCCCACCCCTCGACTATCTGCTACTTTGATGAACCTTCCCTCTGTGAAGCCCGAAGTCAGCTAAATGGCCAATGATATCTATCAAAACGCCTGCCATTTGAAATAAACATTTAATATTTTAAACTGCGGGATGCATTGGCGCAAGTAATTTAGAGCCCTTGGCCCAGAATTTACACATAGCGCCTTACATCTTTAAAGCCCGAATTATTCTCACAGCAAACTGATGCCGACGACGTGATGAGTTTTGGTGGTATTAGGCGAAGGCTACATAGACATATTGAGCACGTTTCAAACAGCGATATTTTTAAAGAGGACCGTACGGTTCTAGGGGCGTTAAAGGGTTAATATGCTGTGGATAACTTAATTTGCACTGGAAACTGTTAGTCGGGCTAATTTATTCTCCAGCGTTACCAAGACCTCAAGGAAGAACTAATTAAATCGATATTTCAAAAAGTACGAAAAAATAAATATTCTTTTGTTATAATAAAAGCACCAACTAAGTATAGGCTATTTAAGGAGGTAAGAAATCCAAAATAATATTAATCTACTGTAAGTAAAGCTGAATTAAGGAAATAGGGAATTTTGCCCAGATAACAGACTTGGTAATAGCCTCTAATGCACATTCATAGATTGTCATGATCAAACTGGTTGGGGACTGACAAAACGCTAATTTCTCAGTGAAAAATCTTTTCTCCACTCAAGAAATTAGAAAAAAAAGAGGAGACTTACAAGTCATTCGAGCCAATAGGCTACTAAGGCTTTCGCAACTTCTTCTTTTCTCAGCCTCGCTATTCGTCGGCCCAAAATCTCCATCTACGGGAAAAACCGAATTTGCCATCACATTCGCTTCATCACGTATACTTTCGCCTCGAGCAATCAGTTCAACAATCTCATCTAGTAGAATGACTCCTGAAGCCTGTGCTTCCTTTGCACGAGATTGGATTGTAAGTAACCCTTCCATAGGATCTTCAGGGCCATTTGATAAATTATTCCCTGCATTGCTGTCCTCCATGACTACGGCAGAGTCTGCCTCATCAGAAGTGTCGGACGTTCCGCTGAAGGAGGTGGAAGAACCTTGAAGGAGTATTGGGGCGCCAGAATGACCGGGAAGGTAGTCGGAAACGGATTCAACTAGGGATTGCCATACTCCCAGTAGGGGTTGCAGCTGAAAAGAAATAAAATTTGCAGGCGTTAGTACATTGCTCGCGCCTTGGTGCATCCGTGTGCGGATATCGGATTTCGATAACTGAACTGTTTATCGACCACTCAGTGACCTAGAAATTGTTTGTCCAGATTTAATTAGATTTCAAGTGATTTATCCATGAACTTTTAGAGTACCACTCTTTCTCCATATATTCCAATCATACCATAAGAATTAAAACAATATTTAAGACAAAGTGAATAGAAGAGCAAAATACAAGTTGGTATCGTAATAGAGAAAATGAATTATTATTAAGGGGCCAGAGACTAAAACTAATTTGATTAAACAGGCAAGATAATAACTAATCTTGGGCGAAATGGCCATCTCCTCAATTGTGCATGATTGAACCTTAAACCAATACGCCATCCAGTATGGTGAATGCCTCCTGGCAAAGCAGAGTTAATAAGAAGCACGCATGACCATGTTTGGGAAAAAAATAACAAGAAAGTTCAAACTCACTTCGCATGACCTTATGCAATTTAAGTAAATTCATCAGATATGAATGGCGCGTGGTGGGAAAAGTAAATTGAGATGGAAAGATGAAAGGCATGCAGCGGCCAGAAATTCACCTGGTGTCTGGTTTCGGTGTATAACTTAGATTAAATTACGATTTCAAGTTAATGACTCAGGCAACCGTGCGATTGCCCACTTCTGACCCTAAAACATTTTATGCCAACATTAGTCCCCAATTAAAATAGCATATTTCAGACTACAGAATGATCAAAAAAAGTAATAACTAATAAAATTTAAAATGAATGACAAAGATTAGAAAGATAGAAAATTTTAACTTTAGGGATGCATTTAGCCAAACAGGTTCCATTGATGAGCGGGCATAACTAATAATTCGAACTTAAGGAAAACTCCAATAAAACCGAAATCCAAAAATTCATCCTACTTCCACTTAATTTTAACCTCCAATAACGGATTGCAGAATCGACCCATCGAAGTGTAGAATTCCAAAACCCTTCAAACAGCCGCTGATTTTCTAATTATCTTAAAACAATAATAGTATCGATTTGAAGCGGGAACAGAGAACCTGCTCATGAGCAATGGTCCTTAGATATCTTTTTAATGCAACATTTAATTATTTTGATGTTAAACTTTTAAGTAGATGTACGAAAAGTCGCAGAGAACTCGAATATTGTGTGCTCAATTTTAATCCTAAGGCAATATAAGTGATTAATTATAAAGGTAAGAATTTGGGCTGAAATTGGAGTTGTGTTGGTGGTGGAAGTAGAGCACAATGATAAAAACGCCACAGCGCCTCTGCCTAAGGACCAAAACATTAGTTGTAAATTTTAACGAAGGTGTGCAAGTGAGTGCTCGAACGAATTCATGTGCGCGCCTGATTTGTAAATCTAATCAGGCGCAATTCTTCCACACGCATACATACATATATGCAAGCCCACAAAAGATCCGATTCTCATTTACACGGCCTCTTTCCCTCTATCTCTCTCTCTAAACTCGCGTTAATTCATCCACTCAGATATGTGCGATTTCCTAGATCCACGATGGAGCGTATAGTAGAGAGGCCAAAAATGCAACTATGATTAATTTCCTTCTTACAAAACAGGTACAGAAATTTTCTCTCACTCGCCACAACATTGAAGCTAAAAGGTGCATATCACCACAGAAAAATGCACAAGACCAGATATTAAGTTAATTTCGGATTAAGCACATACTCGATATGTGGGCATAAACGCCGATCGGAGGGTTGAGAATACCTCAGTGTCTGACCAATTAGCGGAAAGATAAACCCCATTGGAACTACTACATGGAATCTGTAGAATTTTATCCTGCTACTTAAAAGTGCGTGTGGGGGAAACCCATCCTAAAAGCGATTTAGAAGTCATAACCATCTATGATGTACCACTTTTTTAACCTCAGCAATTTCATCACATTTCTTGCCAAGGAAACTACAGAATTTTACCTTTCCACTAAAAGTACACGGAGAGGAAACGCTTCCCAAAGGCAACTTAGGAGCAAAACCCTACACGATGACCTATATCATGTCCCCAGTAGTTACATCACTATAGTATGATATTCCCAAAAAGATAATACAAAATTGGCCTGCAAATTCAATTAAGGAACAGTAAGTTCTTGATATAAGATCGATGCAAAATCCACCTAGAAAACACCATCACTTGCTCAAGGCTGAGACAATCCATTTGACAAGTATATGAAGGGATACGAGATAGTAATTTTCTAGAGATTAGGTCCATTTGAAGATTAATCGATATTTATTATAGCAAGCTACTTAGGAAGAAGTTTTACAAACCTTCAAAGTGGGAAAAAGGCATTAAATAATTATTTACGAATGCCAAACAAGGTATAAATCAAACTCTAGGTCCTTTAGGACAAAATTACCCAAGGCACAACGATTTTCTAATTAACTTGATCCATTATCTAGAATAAATGCTCGAGAGTGGTCAATGGTACACAATAACTAGATGTGTAAATTAGTGAAGCACCTGTTAATTGGTCTTTCTTACAATAATAAAATTAACAGTAGCCCCCTCAACCCTTCAAAACATTAGCGGAGTCCAAATATAGATGAACTAACTCCAACTTGATTGAGCAGGCATAAAAGAAATGTCTCCAAATAAAACCGGGAATGCTAATGAATAAGTCACAAATGGCACTCATAAGAGGTTAGTCATAGAGCTAATTAATATTAGCTAAAGGCAATGGTATAAGTAGATACAATGAAACAGAGAGGGTGGAGTGTGCGATAGACTTACTTCCACGTGGTGCACCCTGGAAAACGTATACTCATACGACAAAAAAGTCTATTAACCGGCAATTGACTTCTCACTTTAAACTACCATCACCCCGCTGTATATCATATTTAACTACTTCCACAGTAATCACCTCACCTTTTTTCTACCTTGGTGTATGTCTCATTTACATCATTTAAACACTCTTCTGTCCCCTCCCCCTCCTCTCGACTTTTTTTCAGTTTGACGTTCCCTCCCCTCTGTGAAGCCTGAAGTCAACTTATGGGCTAATGATAACTATTGAAACGTCTGCCATTTGATATAAATAAGTATTGAGGGGGTAAAGGGGTGCGCGATAAACTTACCTCCACGTGGTGCACCCTGGGCAACGTTTACTCACACCTTACCTCCACGTGGTGCACCCTGGGCAACGTATTCTCATTCGGCTTACCTCCACGTGGTGCACCCTGGGCAACGTTTACTCATATGACAATAAAGTTTTCAAACCGGCAGTTAATCTCTGACCTAAAACTATCATGACCAGACTGCATGTCATATTCCACTGCTTCCACAGTACTCATCTGACCATACGCTCAACCTTTGTTTCTGTCTCATTTTCATCTGCGAATCATTCTTCTGCCCCTCCGTCTCAACTTTTTGTCACTTTGATGTTCCTCCTCCCCTCCGTGAAGCCCGAATTTAGCCAAAGGGCTAATGACAACTATCATAAAGCCTGCTATCTGATATAAGTATATATTGAGGGAGAACTAGGCAGGCTGTATATATTTACTCGAAAAGCAAAGATTACGGATCTACTTACACTTTTGAACCCTACCAAACATACCATAAAGATGATCGCACTTCGAGGTCGATGACACAACTAAAAGAGTCAAGTTATTTCAAGAATACAAAGAAGCCAATATAATTGCGCATACAAACTTAAAATACCGAGAGGATCGAAACATAGAACGCACTCCAAGAAACCGGGAAAAGACAGGAAATTTTAACACAGAAATTCTGTTCAATCAGAAATAATGAAGGTCGCTGTATACATAGTGGATGGATAGGATATTCAAAATCATTAAGTCTGCATAATAAAAGGAATGGAAGAGCCTGAGCTTCACACTAGAAGGGGACACCAGGAGATATAATCGCTCTAGGCAAGATGAGCGTAGAAAAAAATGCTTACAAAATGGGATTGGGATTTTAAATCGCGCATTCGAACTGAGAGATTTTTCTGAACTCCATTGATGTTAAACTCAAGAATATGCGGCCTTGAGAACTTGATGGTGGNGTGGGGGTTGATTGGGGAAGATTTTGTGTGTGGGTAATAAACCCCCGATTCCCCACTTTGGCTAGAATCTTACATCAATTTCCCTCCGTCTACCGAAGATATGTTCTGAAGGAACAACAAATAGAAACTTAAAGAGTCACTTTTGATTAAATGGCAGTAGACGAATGAAGTGCAACCATGTGCCTTTTAGGAACAAATATCATCAGCTCAACTCTGGTACATTAAAATTACAATAGCTGATCAACCTTCGAAAGGAAAAAATAGTAAAATGACATTATTGATCAACATAATTATTCACTTAGCTATTTAAAAAAGGTAAAGTTGGCATGAATTAGCTCGTGAATCTAGGTGATGAATCATAGAATTCGAGGCTCGGAACAAGATCAACCAAATAAATAGATACTTTTCAGCCCAAATACAAAATTATTTTCGATCAGAAACTAAACTCACTTCTACTTGTAAATTTATATTGCCTTGCCGTGGGTCACAATAAAAAGACAAGAACAACGTAAAATTTCCATTAGTGAAGTTTACTTCAAACCAGAGAAAAATTTCCTACATTTTAGAACAAGCTGTTTGTTTAAAGCATTTAATTTATTAATTTGTTATTTTTGCTAATAAAAACACAATTTGTTTGGATGCAAAATATGTTCATTGTTTGCAAACTATTGTCCCGTTAAATCCCTGGAGAAATCTCAATTGACGCATCTGCGACATGAAAAATATATTCAAAAAAAACAAAATAAAGTCAACGAATAACTTTGGTGAGTAAACAATATTTAGTTTGTTAGCTACGGGCTGTATTTTAATGAATTAGAATATTTAATAATCGCAAAATAATATACCTATTTAAATAAAATATCTGCATTTAAAATTCATCTTAGATATTCTCCCCGTTGTAACATCAGCTGGGTTTCTATTTGAAGTAAAACAATGAGAAGAAAATTTCGGCATGATGATATATGTGAACAGGGACTCTAAATACGATGACGTTTATATTGTTGATGATGCTAACATTTAGGGCGAGGCGAGGCAAAGCAACCAATCGATAAAGAACATTAAGAGCGCTAAGGGAGATTGCGCAAATGCTTACATTGCGCGTTAATTCGAGTAGCATGAGGGCTTGGACACAAGCCAACCAATAAACGGACGGCAGGCATGACCAAACGGCAGCGACCAATAGTCAAATTTCCTGCTCAGACTTCAGCCATTTCTTCTTCGGCAAGAAAACCAATGAGGGTCGTTGCAAATTTATACGAGGGCCTTAGATGGGATCATCTCCACTCTATCCCCCCCCCACACCACACCCTTCACCACCTTCTCTTCATCAAAGTATCTCTCAAAGAATTTTTTATCGACACCTTCACAGAGTGAAATTCAACGCACTTGTTTGAAATTTTGACCCTCGCAGTTAGTTACTAGAAGTCAAAGGTTATCAGACTTTCATGTTATAGGGTCAAGCAATTTTGAAAATGAAATAGATTTGAACTGGCTAGTTAAGTTAAATGCAAAGATAAAAATGGTAAAACAATGCAACTTAATTAATTGAATATTAATAGATATTTCAACTTACAAAGCGTTCGCTTTTGGATGTAGCGCAGTTTACTTGCAGTTCGATAAGCGGCGAAACGAATTTGGTCAAATTTTTTGGCTTCTAAAATGTCGAAAAATTCATTTTTATTGCAAATTTGGCTAGAAGTTTCAATTTCCAATTGCCTGGGAATATAATTTGTGTGGTTAGAAATAGGAGATATTTTCATTAATTTTGATAAAAATAATAAAGAGAAATATTGCAAAATGTAGATAGAAATTGGGTAAACCCAATTCCAGCTTTGATGCTGGTCAAACTACGTGAGATTTTCGATATTATGTTTGGTTTCAGTTTCAAATGTGCAAAAAAATGAATTCAAAAAAGTACTGAAAAAAATCCATTTTGTCCAATTTACCCTAAATGTATACATTAAAGCAACAAAGTTATGGGTATACGGAAAACTATTGTACTCTTTTCACAAAAAAGATGTGAATCATTCCATGTCATATTTGCCGAAGGCAAAACCTCATTTCACCAAGGAGGAAAGGAAGTAAAATTTGAAAAAAAGACTACAATTTTTAAAGCATCTCTATGTATATACGCTTCACATTCAGGATATTTGAGGTTATATCTGTCGTCCATCGTAATTTTAACTTTAGAAAGGTTTTTATTCACATTGCGTTGTCCTGTTAATTTATTTGTTCAAAATGCACTAAGCAGATCCAAATGTAAATAATAAATTTCACGAATTATAAATTTCATCAATAAGTCAAAAGAAATTAAGCCGCATGTTTTATATAATTGTTAATTTTTCTAGGCACCTGTTTCAAATTCTTATTAGTAGAAAATTAGCAAATTAGATCTAGGAAAGATTGTTGTCGTGACTTACTCAAAGGAAACTTACGAAATTGAATAAATATAAATTTGGTACATTTCCTCTTATTATAGCTAAGTGCACCTTGTTGTGGCGTTTACACTAACGCTAGCAAAGATTCAATCTGGAAATAGGAAATTTGGAATACATGCCGCTATTTACTTGTCCATAATAAATAAATGCGATTGCAAATAAATCCATACAGATTTGATTATCCAGAGCATATTTTACATTTACAATTATTAATAGGCAATAACTTTTTAATTTCAAAATTAAACTCCATCGAAACAGTGTCATTTTAATAAAGACGCTATGGTGATAGTAAGCCCAATCTTTAAAACATGGCGTGGAACATTCTACTGTGTCGCATGACAGAAAGATTTTACATACGAAATTCTACTCATCGAATAAAAGCTGGCATTAGGACATTATCCCAATGCAAAAACACTTGAAATAGTATATGAAATACCAATTAAGCATACTTAGTTCAGCTAAAAGTCTTCGAAATCCAGCAAAAGCTGCATTGTTTGAATCCACAGCAAGTTGATTCATTTGCTGCTGTTGATACATTAGCGGATGTTGTTGATGAGGAGCTTGTTGATTTTGAAGCTGATTTTGATTTATTTGTTTTGGTGGTCCCATAAGAATAGGGCCATCATTTGGAGCATAGTAGAGATTTGGATTCTGATCTTTAGAGGGAACAGAGGGGAGATTTGAGGTGGCAGTTGAAACTGGCTGTTGAAGATCTTGTGTTCCATGCATTACTACTATATATTTCTGAAATAAAGATTTTTAACTAAACACAATTATAATGGTGAAAAAAATGATTACGTTAATTAATGATTAGTCACTCAATAAATTCTTCAAAAATTTTATAACGTTTTAATTTCGATTAGAAAAGAATGTGAGATTGACCGAGCAAAATTAAATTAGTACAACAAATAGCGAAAAAATTTAAAAACTACACTACGATATATCAAAATAATATTATTGAAATAATTTATCACATTTCAGCAAATAATCTAAAAAAACAAAATGACAAATAGATAAGCATTTAAAATTTAATGCTCAAAAATACCTGAAATCTTTGAGACACTTACATAATATGATTAATTCCTGAAACTTGGAAGTATAAAATAGTCTCAACATAAAAGCATCTCAACTGAAAAACCACGTATATTTTAACTCTTTTAAACAAATACAAGGTCGTTTGATCTTGAAAAAAATAAAAAAAACATTTATTAAGTAGTAAAAAGTTGAGATTCGTTCTGTTTTAATTATCATTATCATAGAACGTTTCAGTATTTGCCAAATTGTTCGATGCTTAATCAAATTAATTTACTAAATCATATCAATTGCATTATACATGAACTATACATACGCCTACAATTTTAAAAAATTTAGGTTTATTCATTATAATTTTAGATTTCTAAAATTTAAAGCTTTAAATAAGAGGGTTATTCTCATAAGTTTTTTCACTCACAAATAATCCCTATTTTCATTAAAGGGGTCGTTGAAATCCTAATTTCCGATTCTTCATTAAGAAAGCAATACCTTATTCTTATACATAAAATAAACTTAAAAATATCTAAGTTGATTGAGTTTAAAAGACCTAAATATTTATAATCATAAATTTCCGTAATTGTATAATTATAATATGTGGGATTGTTATTGAGTTCATGCTACCTTCAACTGTTAATGTACTTTGAAGTACATTTCTTTTCAAGATTTCACAGTTTAAAATTTGTATTTCCAATCATTTTTTAAATTTTGATTATTATCAATCATATAACTTATTAGAATCTAACGCTCAAATCACAGAGTGAATTTTACAATCTTGCTTTTATTTTAAGCTCTCATAAAGTTTTCGATTAATTTGAACTATGGCATTCAAGCAGTGTTTCCTATATTTACTTAACGAGCAGTTTTAAGTAGTCCAAATCGGATTCTAGGGATAAAAAATAAAATGACAAATAATTTAACGAATTGCTGCTAATTACATGTGGTATTTAGGACATTTAGGATGCATAATTCTGGAAAAACCCGTGTATTTTAGTCAGTTATGGAATCTTTGACTATTTATGGACTCTAACTTGGAGTAAACAAGTGACCTAATTGACGTTATAGCAAATTCTTTAGCAACGGTCTTCAGCAAAATATGTAAAATTTGGTTGCCGAAATGTCTTCTAATATAAAACCAATCTCTTTTTGCACTTCCACCTCCTATTTTACCTTATAGTGAAATCAATATTGAGGCACCAACAGTGACACGAAATAAACCCCATTATTCAGAAATAGTTTCATAATAACGAGTCTCAAAAACATTCTGTAGGATTTTCCTACCCTAAAGTCGTTCGATCACGAGTGATCTCTAATCAGTCTCGACATCCTATCCACTTGATTAGTTAATGAATCAATTATACCGCCTAGAGCGACTACATAAGGTCGTTATTCATTTCTACCTAAGGAATCCATGCATCGTCTATTCAGATTCAGCCCTCGAAATGTCTTAGTTGGTATAACCACATTAACGCTAAATCAAGGCTCTTCTTCATTTCAAATTACTCACCACTAGAGAATGATAAATGAAAAGAACTCGGGAAATAGTTCATGATATACATGCTCCCCACTCCAAGGGAAAGAATCAACTGTGATTGTCTAGAGAGACAGCCTATAAAGGAGTTCATTCTCATGGCATAGTGAATTATCTTAATTAAACCACAAAAAATTTCCCCGACGCAACCTAAGTGACTTGAAATTCAAATTCAAATAAGTGGCAATAATTTACAGCTCCCTGATTAGAGCAATTCGCACTTTTAATGGCCTAATGGCGAATAAATAAAGCGTCCATCAATCTTGTTTATGCTGGTTTTGCTGCCGAAGATTTTCTACTGTCAATATTTTCCTCCTGTCGTAAATTGTAACATCAGATTACCCTTACAGGTCAAAGCATCAGCCGCGTACTTTTTCCTCTATCCTTCTGCTTCTGACCTCAGCTCAACTCTGATTGGTTGCAAGTTGTTGATCCTGATATTTTGCCTTTCGTGATTTGCACAAATGCACAAGGAGGGATCTTAACCACGCGGAATGCTCCCTTACAAGTGGAATGAACCGGTAGAATGGATTGGTTCAGTTGTGCTCAACACTAGAGGTCAAGTAATCAGTCTTGGAGGGGATGTTGAACGTTCTCGGTTCCTACTGGAAGATTACATCTCAGCCTATCGGTTTGCTGTCTTCCATCTTTCGAGGGAACGATATTTGCAAATGTATCCAAGTCGAAGGGTTATGTTATACCCTAATGGATCTCCGATTCAACGATCAACTAGAGGTCCTTTTGTCATTGTGAAGGTTCAGTACTTCTTTTATGCTGTTGCTGTAATGGAACGTATTATTTACATTAATAAGTGGAGAGTATTACCCATAGTATAAAACAACTTTTTCAACTAACTTTATAAACTTGTAAATATGTCATTTTTATAATTTTGAGTTCAAATAATAAAACTATTTCCTATTTTTCCACGAGGACATTTATTATACAACCAAAGTTATTTATTTGCTTTCTTCATCGTCAAACTTACCTTTTACCCTGTGTAATCCAGTTAAAAGCATGCTATAATCCATACTTTGATTGAATTTGGATTGTCCTTAAGTCCAACTCATTTATCAATAAGAAAGAGTAGTTCTATCATAAAAAGGACATCAAAGTAGAAATTAATTTGCTTTTTTTCAATTTAGGGTGAGTTTGCTGATTCTTTTCTTGGTGGTTTAGGAAATATTAAAGCTGCCAAGCAATTTGGCCCAATTTTATAGAAGTCATAGAATAGCGGGAGTCAGTGATTGTGGTCTCCGCTTGGTTACGAAGTAGCATATGCATGAAAAACTGTTTTATTTCAAGTTTTTCATGTCACCAGAAGGTTTTGATTAGCACTGTATCGTTTTAATCGAATCTCAGTCAAATAATCAGATATTATTTAATTTAGCGCTAGTATATTTGCGCTTTGGATTTTAATGGTTAGCATTATGAAATGCTTCCCGAAAACAACTAGCTAACTGTTTGAAATAAATAGACAGGTTTCAGTTAATTCATCTAGAAACAAAGAGTGTGTATTTTTATTAAAGCCAATAATTCAAATTACTTAAATTTAGTTAATCTACTTAATCATTTGAAAAATGAAGCTTGTTTTGTACAAAATTAGAGTCAGATAATGGACTGTTAATTTTACATTTTATGGAGAAAAAACTAAGTAATTTGGGAAGCATAGACCTGGACTTTCGATTGCAATTGGTGTCTGGGGCACGAAAGATCAAACTGGATCTCAGCACACTCACGCCAGATGTTTATCTTTATAAATAAACATTTATAATGTTTTAAGTACTTTCTTAACTGTTCGAGTTGAAGCTTAATTTCAAGGTTGTTTGCAGAATGTTTGGAAGAAACATATAAAACTTTTTTGTAAATTTAAAAGACTGGTTCTGACTCCACTCTAGCCTTGATAGCTACAGTCATCTCGGCTATGGTTCGTATTTCATACAAATTGAATTTCGGTCTTTAAGCCATTGACAGTGTAACGTGGAATAAGTTGGAACTAGGAGTGGGAAATTAACGCAATATTTTCCCCATAATACTTAATTTCATTACTTAAATTATAGTTAGCAAGCGATTCTATTTACTATGATTCACTAATCAGGAAAAAAATCATGCTTGGAAGAGCAAACTAATCACATATCTCCTAAACATGTTCAAAATCAGAATGAGACGTGTAACTTTGTACAATTTTTTTGTATCTATGCATTTTGTGGCTTCGTACTGTTAATAACAAAGTTTATTTCTGCTGCTTTGTTATTTAAAATTAATGATTGAAATAATATCTCTAAGTGGGTGTGTGATAGACCTACCTCCACGTGGTGCAATCTAGACAACGTTTACTCATCGGCGGAAAAGTCTATAAACTTGTAATTCCCTTCTAACTTCAAACTACCATGACCCCACACTATGTCATATTCTACCACTACACAGTACTCACATTACCTTTGCCTTTGTGTCTGTCTGGCTCTTTTGCATCTGTGAATCATTATTCTGTCATCCCTCTCGACCTTTTGACCCTTTGCTGTTACTCATCCTCTCTGTGAACCCCGCGAAGTCAACTAAGACCTAAAGATAACTATCCAAACGCCTGTCGTTCGAAATTAATAAATAAATAAATATCTCCAAGTAAAATTTTATGCTACTCACAAATGTGAGTAGACGCAATCTTTCAAGTTCACAAATATTAAGTAAATTATGGCACAAGCTGTTATTCCACTGGAGGTAGAATAAATTGCTGAAGTTAAAGAAGATAGTAGAGATGAATACATACCAATTCTTCAATATTTAGCTTCTGAAGATTTATTTTCTCCTCAGGCAAATTCATCCGATAAGTTATTTCTATCATGCAAACAAAGATCCCCACTGTTATCAATGGTCAAAATTGTTAAATTTTACTCTTAGGAAAATGGTATCTTCAATAATGTCTTACAGATTATCACCCACCTTGCTAGGTATTAATATCACAGTACAACGGCATGGAGATGGTGATGTCACTGTTAGCGTCACAAAAATATTGCAATAAAATTGTCAACTCGATCTTCAAATTAGTCCAAGGTGATATATCTGCCACCTATTTCCCCCATTTGCTGACTTTATTATTTTAAATGACCTTGGCTTTGCTGATCAGGCCAATCTTTCACCACCTCATTTGAATTTACCTTTCAGGTATATTGAAGGTAATTATTACAATTTAAGATAAAAGAGTTGATGCCCTGATTTATTGCATCTTAAAACAATTTTACCAACTCTCAAAATGAAAGAGAGACAATCTAGTGAAAGCACGATTGTCCAAAGTAAAAGATATAAAAAGACGGTATATAACATTTTTAACAAAACAAAATAAGCATGATATTGTTTAGCAGAATTAACTTTATTTAAAACTTGGCTAAACCATGGTGGTGCATAGAATCGTTTGATGAAAGTACATATTTGTATTCGAACAAAAGGGATAATTGATCGGAAAATCTAATTTAAACCACTTAAAGAAGATCGTTTAATATTGGATTAGTGGGATGTAATTAAGGAAATTAGCAGAAATTCTTTATGATAAGCTAAACTCCAAGTCAAGTAACCGGTAATCCAAAAACGTAGGTAAAATACGTGCCGGTCAGGCTTAACTGGAAAAACCAACACCCATCCCCAACTTGGATTAACTTAAATTGATAAATCAATGTTTTGAAACTCATATTAACCTAATCAACTATATTTCATTCCCATTGTACTCTATTTAAAATAGGCATTGATTTTGTGACACCTTTGAATAGCTTAAACACAAAACCTGATATTGTTTTTATTAGAACACATCAGCTCATGGGCATTGATTAAAAATACGCAAGATCCCAAGAACATCTAAGCACACTTAAAATAGGAACGCTCTCATTGGCTACTACAGCCAAGTCACGTCCTATTGGTTGACACCGGCCATACAAATGACGACCCAGAAATATCGTGCTTTAATTGGTCGAGAGTCCAACCAATACCGCCACTCTTACTCAATTTTATATAATCTGCATTTTGGCTCCACCTCAGCTCAGTCATAATTTGTGTGTACACGCCCTGCTCTCGTCCTTTTTCAACTATGCCCAAGTGCCCTAGCTGTGGAAAGGAAGTCTATTTTGGTAAATATTTTTGTTGTTGAATTGGAGACAACTCCCCGTTCCTTAATTTAGCCGAACGAGTTACTTCTCTTGGAAAGGATTGGCATCGTCCTTGTTTGAAATGCGCCGAATGTAACAAAACCCTTTCTGCTGGCCAGCATTCTGAGGTGGGTCCTTCTTTAAATGAATTTCTTTTGCAACCATTAAATGAGCATTTATCTGCAATGTTGGCATATATACTTGCCTATTATCTGCTTTTTTCTGGTCCTTTCTTTTAAGTAGCACCTAGAGAGGAATCGATGCAATTCCATGAATTGAAATGTTCCATTTGATGTTGTTTTATTTAATTATGACTTCACATGTCATTCAAATTATTGCCCTTAGAGAATTAGAACCTTTTAAAAGTAAACCTACTATTTCATCTTCCTTTTTATATCTAAAGGAGTTTATTTTTTGAAGTTCATTAGTAGGGCTGTGGGAATGCCAGTAAAGGCGATCATTAGTCATATAAGTATCAAAATTTTTGCTACGATTCTCATCGCGTAATTTCTAATTTCCTTTAGAGTTCCCCTGTGGACAAACCCTTAAGAGATTATCTGCTTTCTAGCAATCTTATTTCACAAATTAATCAGTTCAAAATGATGGCTGGTTGCTGCTGGACAATTTTCTACTTAATCTTACCTCTAATTCATGAAATAAGTCCGTCGAAAGTCAAGTTGACATTTGTCCTAATTACCGTCATCGGTGCAATTCACATTTTTTAAGCGAAGTTAATGAGTAATCCATTATTACGATATCTAATGAGGGCACTACTTTCTCCTGTTTTTTGAACAAAATTATGGTGATAATTTCGTCCCAAATCCAGTGACTGCGTAGACTTGGACTTTAACCGTTCCACTTTTCAGCATCAATTATATTAAAACTAACGCCTAATGTTTGTCTTTTTTTATTTTCATTCTGTTTAGCACGATGGAAAACCCTACTGCAATGTACCTTGCTACCAAAAGCTCTTTGGTCCAACAAGTAAGTGACTAATGTCTGTTCATTCCTACCTCAACCATCCTCATTAACCCTTTTTAAGACATGCTTTCCAATTTCGTAATATGCTAGCATCTTCTTTGTGTTCAAGGGGCTTTGTCATTTTGGATAATCGAGTGTATCGAGCATAGTGGGGAGAATTTTGAGAAGGGAAATGAATTATTTTTCTCAAAGAATGGCTGATTGCGAATTCAAATAATGGCCCCTTGATCACTGTTAACAACATCATTGCTCACAGAAAATTATTGACCTTAGAGAATCATTGAAACATGGATAATAATTTAGTTCTCTAAACGAGGGTGGGGGGGGGGAGGGAGGTAGAGTAAGGAGGATTTCTAATTTGAGCTCAAAATAAACAGCTTTGCTTATTTGGACTCAACAATTATCACCAAATCATGGTCTGACGCTATGAACTTCCAATATCAGGATCTGACACCTAGGTTTTTGAATGGCTGTCGATTTTCACAATGTTCAGATCTGTTTGAACAGTGGATTTGTAGGGAGGGGATGGTTGTACCATTTCGGAATATTTTGCTTTTTTTCTCACTATTCCCTACCTTCCCCCCCCCCTCCCCCATCCACAACCTAAATGAGTTCGATAACAGTTGAAGGGCCTCATATCGAATATCAACGATCCTATCACATTACCTCTATTTCACCGTGAAAAACTGAAACTTTGTAAATTGATGAGTGTGAGAAACCTTAATCGTTTCATGTTTTTTTTTAAGTTCAATTTCCTTTTGCACTCACGTGTTGTGGATTAAATTCGTAAACCTTCTCATGTTACTTCATAAAATAAATATAATTTTCACTTTGAGTGCATTTTTTATCTCGGATTTATATGGAAATTATTCCATTTGAAAGAAAAAACATATTTATGACTAAATTTAATAGACTGGTTGACCTTTATTAGTTGAAATTTGTGACCTTTTGCTGTTTTTGCATGGGTGTTTCAAGCCAAATTGTCTGCAGTATTGTCATTCAATTTAGTACATTAGTCACTCATTGGAATGGCACAAATAAAACACAAGCGATTTTGATTGATGGTGATGATGATGATGATAATAATTGGTTCTTAAAGTGTTAATCCACCTCTTCACAAATAAACTATTCGAAATTCTCAAAGTCATTTCTGCTCTTGTGGCGTAGTGGTAGTAGTAGTTGCAATGCCTCTAAATGCACATCTTACAGATCTAAGCGAAACCGGCAATTATCGGGCCCAATATTATCTCCACTTTCTTAAAACTATACCCATTTTTTGTCTGTGTTATCACTTTTTAAGATATTGTCTACTCTTTCAACAGGTTATCGATAGCACCTTGCCAAGGTTTGAAAAGCACTGTCTCTCTTTCTCCCTTCTTTGTAATAATGCATCTTTGTTGTGTATGACATTTGTTTCCATTTCACCGTTATTTACTGTTTACAATAGAGCATGCTCTATTTATTCGTTCTGTGTCATTCAATTGCGTCAATTACCCATTTTTATGCATTCATTTTTTATTGTTATTTTTTAGGAACAATATAAATACTCGGCTGTGCATTGGTGGGGCCTCTTCTCCTGTTAATTAAATTTTAAATAAAGATTCCTGTTTTACACTACCAATTGCCTTTTTGTTCATACTTGGGTACTACTAAAGGGGAGACAATATCTTTTTATTTAAATTCGCATTTTAGCGTGGATCAATCTCATCAAAAGGAGAAACAGAAAGAAACAGATCGTATTGAGAGGAGGCTACTTTTCCGTAACTAAGAGAAGCCACATTGGTGAAATTCAGTCTTAATATTAAGGCGAATGATGAGCGCTTAGTAGTTGAGGGGTAGCTTCAGGAGCAATTACGTGACGCTTTTCAACGAAAGAGGTTTTCACTTATTGGCGACAGTTCTGTCTTATTTGCTTGCCAGAAGAATGAGTACTATGCGGAGATTGGGTGATGGCGCCAGTCACAAATTTGGAGTCACTTCGCGAGATTTAGGGTTTATAACTCCGAATCTGCACCTCAATTGGGACCACGAAATTGAGGTACTCGGGCATAGAAAGTGGTGCTGAGATCGATGAAAATTTTATTGATTTATAGACACCTCTGAGCGTCAGCCCCCATTTATACTTTTACAAGAATTATTGAGATAATAACAGTGCAGAATAGAGAATTTGAGTTCCCATTCGCTGAATATAATTTATAGCGTTGTTCCAGTACAGATCAGCCTGTTTTGTTTCTCCTTAAAATTTTCTACATCGAGCCGATTTCGGTACCTTAAGTGACAATGCTAAAAGTAGTATATTGATAGTTATCATTAGCCCTTTAGTTGACTTCAGGGTTCACAGAGGGGAAGGAGCATCAGAGTGAAAGAAAGTCGAGAGGGGGGGGGGGACAGAAGAGTGTTTCAAAGAGACAGATACAAAGATAGAATAAAGTTGAGGTGAATACTGTGAAAGTGATCGAATAAGACATACAGTGGGGTGATGGTGGTTTGAATTCATAAATCAATTTGCCGGTTAATAGACTTTTTGCCGTATGAGCATACGTTGCCCAGGGTGCAACATGTGGAGGTAAGTCTATCACGCACCCATGGTAAAAATATATACTCCCATAAAAGTACCACCAAGACAATCTTTAGAATTTTTTTAAGTTAACTCGTTTCAGACCGACTTTCACATATTGGCATCCATGGTAAAATGGGTTCTGAGCAGTCTCCATGAGATATTTTGCTTTTATTAAATTGTCAAGGCTAGAATCGATTAAAGTTCGAGAATTGAATTACGTATGAGAATACTGCAAGGGTGTTGCCCGTATAAATGAGTCATTGACATTAAAGTTGTAAAGAGGTTTGATGGCAATAACCTCCTAGCCCATTTAAGGGCGTAAATAATTTTTATTTTGAGAAAATGCGGGTGTGCGATAGACTTAATTTCACGTGATGCACTCTGGGCAATGTATACTCATACTCATATCATGACCCCAGTGTATGCCACATTTGGCCACCTCCCCCACAGTATTCACCTTTACTTTTTCTCCACCTTTGTTTCTGTTCTCCTTTTGCAATGGGGAATCACTCTTCTGCCCCCCCCCCCCCCCCCCCTCCTCTGTGAAGCCCGAAGTCAACTAAATTCCTACTGCTAATTATTAAAAAGCCTGTCATTTGGTACAAATAGATATTGAGAAAGGAGATAACGTCATCGAAAAATTAGATTTCTACCGACCCATTTGTTAAGCAGACTTAATCAATGTGGTTGTCCATCCAGATCATCGAAAGCACGTCAATGCTATTCTTGATCTCTACCATCCAATCTTTTTTAAACAAATTTGATTCGAAACTTCCTAAACTTGAAAGGAAAATAGTTAAAGAAACCCATGGTTAGTACGCACGCCAAACAATTATGCGCCCGCCAACAGGAAAGTGCATAAAAGTTATTAACTTATTGAGCATAAGGGTATATGTAGGTTAACTAGAAAACCCACCCGTGTACTTAGCCCCCCCCCCCCCCCAACCATAGGGCCTAGTACTTGTCCCTATATTAGAGATGAATTTTGTGTGTTAGCAGGGGGATGGAACAGTCTAGGGGGAGGGGAGGGGGGGTTGGAGGGGGTTCTATCAGACGAGCTCTCTAATTAGATATGCTGAGAGAGTGAGAGAGAGAGAGAGGGTGAGAGAGAGAGAGCTTTGTATGTTTATAGAAGTGTGTAATACTAACGATGCGTCACAAACTTGCATAATTTGTAGATTGGTGCCAGGTACAGTCAAGCAGCTCGCTCATAGGAAATTAATGTCTACTTGGACATACATACATCTCCAAATAGACAGTTTGCTTAGTTGTATGGAAAGTACCTGAGCGATCGAACGACGCAATTGTCATCAAGAGGAATAAAAGGATGAATGTTGTACTTTGCTTGCCTCCAAATACCCCTATATCACCTACCAATTTCAAGTCTCCAGCATGTCTTATACAGTGTAATCGCATTAGAGCTAAATCAAAGCTCGTTTGCCGTTCTAATAAATAGGCACTGGTGCTTAATAAACGTATCGAACCCGAGGAAATTGATCTTTCTAAACTTGGTTATCGTTCCAAGAGAATGGTACCAAAACCAAATTTAAAAACATACAGGCTAGCTTGAATAGATGGCTATGTTAATTTCTCATCAGTATCTCCTAACGTGCTCTTAATTTTAAGTTTCTTAGTCTCTCATTGATTTCCGACCTACCGGATCTTTCCAATGAACCTAGTATCTTACCCTGGTTGTTGCTCATTCAAGGTTTCATGGAGTCATACACATTCAGTCCGGTCACAACCGTTACCGTCATTAACAGCCCCCTCCTCTCCAAGTATTTGGGAATCAATGCATACCAAGATCTAGTGTGTTCAAAAATGTCCATCTGTTCCCTTCAATTTGATTTGAGAACCATTTCCGAGGTCTAACTGTATCCCTTCTAAGCTTTTCCTCAAATCGCAATGGGTAGGATGCCCAGAACACTGATAATTGAAACGCCAACCTCTTGGGACATAACGAAAGGAGACAATGATGAGTTTCCTAATTCCTTACATGCTCGGAATAGGACGACGCCTCAAGTTGGCATCAAAATACGGGCGCGTTATCACAAGCCTGTCCGCTCCAGGAACGCAATTGTATTTTCCCAACCGTGATCACCCACCTTTCAGTTTACTTTAGTTCCTAAGCTATACACTGACATTTGTAATTCTTATGCTGAATAAAAACATTTGTGTTCATTAGAGAATCGTAAAATTTACACGCTTCCTAACTTACTTAATCGGATAAATAGCTTGTTGCAACTTTACGCCTAAGCAAATCATTTCCTATATTTTACTCTTTTCGATCTATATGAGCTCCTCACTGTTGAAATCTAATCCGTCAAGTTCAGGTATGATTATTAGAATCGGCGCAGACAGACTTATATGTGCCTTCATTTTAGTCTATTAAAACCACAGGAATGACCTTTAAGTATATTTCTTCAAATACTTCATTCTGTAATTCTAATGCCTTATTGAATTCAATCTTTGTAAATACAAAGACAACTTCCTAAAATATCTCCAGACACCTAGACTGAGCCAAGTTGAGAAAACATTTGTCCCATAAATCGCCAAAAACCTTCGTGAAAGACTCAAGCACACACTGAATTTGCAATACACTCGAAAATTCTTCTCTTTTTTGGTTAAGAAGTTGAGAGCAAATAGCTATGTGAAATCTGAATTTCAAGTAAATTTTTTTGTATGCTCTACTACATTGATCTGTTTACGCGTAAAGCTAATTAACATTATTTTCTTCAATTGTTGGGTGACTTTTACCTATTTCAATGCCTCAACAGCGTCTTTTATCTCCGCGGGGTATCAGGGCACCCACTTAATGTACCGATAATAGGTAATACCTAATTACCTCTCACGTGGTTCCCACTTGATAGGGACCTACGAGAGTGTAAGATTTTCACATCAGTGTGAGAAACATGACAGACAAAACATTTGTATGAGTTCATATTCACCCTTTTTGCGGAAAAAACAGTCACTTCACCTGAAAATACCAGGAAAAGTATGCAAACTTATTTTCATTCCCTTCGGTCACATTGAAATAAGTGGGATAAAAACAAAGCTCTGGGAGACACGTGCTTTTAATAGGCTTTGCACCTGCTTCCATGGTAATTAATGAAAGAGCAATCTCTAGGACTTTTCGAATATCACCCTATTGTCGCCAATTTTTCACCTAAATGACGTATTAGCCTTCCAAATCCAGTTGGTCGAATAAAGGGGAATAGGGCATTTATAGACGGCTTGGTTTCATAGAGCGGCATTTGATTACTCACAGGTCTACTCAGCCTAAACAGGCAGAGAGTGACTCACAAAGCAGACAAAGGTAGATAGGCCATTTATTCAGGCCTTATTCATTATGTCACTTTTAAGCACTCAACTCGTGTATGCGAGATCGTCTCATGCATCAGTGATCCGTCTTTGGCCTAATTCTTTTCACTCAGGAAAATCTGTTGCACTCAGTTAACCTTTTAGATCATTAGATTTTCAGAGGGCAATAGCACTTAGTCTAACTCTGATTAACGCTAATTAACTTAACTCTTCTCGTGATGCACCATTCGAAAACATCATGTTTGTATAAACATTTCATCGGGCACGTTGTTTGCAATTAAACTTTATGCTTTATAATGATCATGGAGAGAGATTGGCGGACGACAGAAATCAAATTTAGGATAAGTCATTTCTTTTCCATCAAGCTCTCCCCATCTACAGAAATATGAGGCAATAGTACGAGTGCAAGAGTTAGAAGTTTATATTGTGTGTGAGCTGTATCAACAGGAAAGTGTATTCTAATGTTATCAATATAAAATGCTTTTAATATGTGAAAATAAGGTTTGAGGGAGTTTAGGAGTCAGGTCTTGACACCAGATGACTGCAACTAGGTAAATGCAAACTGCTTCAATTAATTACATTACCTGTAACTTTAGGGCATGGTAAATAAAAATCTCTCTGATATTATTTGATGGTACCGACAAACGTGCCTCACAGGCAATTTTTGTTCTGGAACTTGAGAAAGTTGGCCTGCATGTGGCCTCTGACTGGCTAAGAGGATTTATTCGTATTCTGAGACACCCTACTCCAACTTTTGGTCAATTAATCATCGGTCCAATGATAACTTCAGCTTTGACCAACAGCCACTTTATGAGCCTCAATGAAATTAGATTTAAATAGTTTTTCTAAAGGAAGAAGACTTCAGGATTTTCTGAAAATTTTTAGATCCGGGTCAATTTTAGCTATTACCAGTGCAAATCACTCTCTACTTGACAGCGATGAAACACTTGCGAAGTTGAATATTCTACTATTTTTTCATATAGTTAAATAGGTCATAAATCTGATTATAAATTAGATTGATAAAAGTCTTCCATTTGAATGATGTTTCCCTACTCATCAACGGGGTCGACTTTAGCCAGTATTCTTATAGGTCCCTTCAAATTAGACAGAATATTTAATCGATTATCGCAAAAGTGAGTAGCATTAACCTTTGCTGTAAATCAAATTCAGTCATTAAAAGCAAAAGCTCTATTAAAAACGAGTTATTGAAAGAACGCGTTAATAAATATTAGCGAAAAAAGATTAATAAGAAAGATATTAGGAGAGCATTAAAATGCCCTCGAAGAAATTATTACACGGTTAATCATAAAATTTTCGAGATAATTTACAAAATGATTACGAGTCCGAATTAGGACGAGTTTGAAAATCGTGCTGGTTCCCCCCCCCCCTGGTGGTTAATCGATAAGTAGAGCAATACTCCCGATGAGATAATCAATAGGGAAAAATAACTTAGCCTGTGATCTAACATGTTCTGAACGAAGGTGCGAACTTAAAAGTTAAGGAATGATCAAAAAAATTAAATTAGCTATTTTTGTTGTTTAGATTTTTTCATTTAGTTATTTGAGGAGATCACCAATACAACATATAGGTCCATTACTAAAATATACAAAGTTAGAGGCGAGCCTATCATCAGTTATTATGAACAACAAACCAAGTTAATCAAAAGTATCGAGAAGAATCCGAACGTTAGAAACAAGAATTCATTTGTGGAACCTAGAGCGAGGTTGCGAAACTAGTTCGGAATCTTTAGCCCTATGAATTAGCGCATTAAATTACAAAATTTCATTGAATTAAGACTCACGGACTGCTTGTTCCCACATCTATTTGATTCCCAACCCCCCTCTACCTTCCTCTCATACTTTATCAAACAAGTCTTAGCGTTTAAAGTACTTTAAGAAGAATAAAACTCCAAGTCCGTTTTTTCCTCTCCTGTTACCTAGATTAAAACAGATAAGAAGCCGCATTTTCACCATGGCCTAGAGTAGCACTTTTAAAGTTTAGTTAAACGGAGAATTTTTTTAAGTCGGCTCATGATATCGCCGCTGAGCGCCTGCTTGCAAAAATTTTCAAAACTATTTATTGAAACGATTAAAGCTGAATATTTGTTCAAAAACTATGACCCCCCGCCCCTTTTTAAATTGAAGGAAGAGAGAATTCCTGGGAATTGATTTTAAGTTAAAGCGAGGAACGAACAAAATCTTACTTCCTATCGATTTATTCTAAGATCTGATATAGTCTGTGGGACACGTCATCGCACGCCAGGATTGCTGAAACCATTTAACTATGACTTTGGTTTGTGAGTCGTTTTCTAAGTACCCATACTGATACGATAATGTTGACATGTATACCACGCATGCCAGGATTGAGATTCGGCCGTACAACTCCGTGTGTAGCAAACCTGCAACCAGTAGTTGAACAGAAGCCTATGTTGTTTAACCTAATCCACCATGCTGATTATGACTAAGCTCGATGCGTGTACACTTTACCCAAAACATACTTACTGAATAAACATGTTCCGTGCTGTACCTCTGTTTCCTCTATAGCTGGGCTATAGCTTAGCTGGTAATGGGCGACTAGCTAGATGTAGGAGAAACTGTCACAGAGACTTCTGAGTCGGTCAGGCTTTAGTAGCGTAGCAATCCGCTACAAGTCACAATTCAAATCAGCGTGGGACATTCACTCCTATTCTCAAGCAGTGCCACTTTGAAGTTTAATTGAATGGATATTCTTGCGATCTAGGGACTTTAATTTCTAGTTTCATACATTGACTCATTATCACATGATGTCCATAACACCTTTCTACGTCATAAGCGATCAGTATACGTGACTCTGTAACACAGGCAAATCCCATACTTCCTATTCTATATATTCAGCGGCACTACTAAAATTTAAAGAGTAGTAAGTGCGAAATGAAAGATTTTCAAAAGCAAGACAATCGGCGTAGAGCTAGCTAATTGTCAATCACAAAAGACATTAAAGTAAATAATGAAAGAGATTAAATAAAAAAGCAACCATGGATATTTCATTGAAATTGAATTTACAGGATAAAAATTAAGCCGAATATTAGCTTTCAACCGTTGCTTTGAACAGAAAATATTTGATAGAATCAAATTCACCAGAAGGATGAGAACAAAGGGAGAGCCCAACTTTTCGAAAAGACCTTTTTAAATCAGTACTCGACCTAGTAAAATCATAACGAAAGCTATATATTTACCCTCGATCTTCATATGCAATGAAAGCCTCCGCAGAAGGGTTCTTGTGAAGTAAAAGCGATAGAGTCTCTACGAACGGAAGAACAACTAAAAGAATATAAAAGCGATTCCAATTACCTCTGCTCTCAAATAAGCAGTCGGATGCCAGGATCAAGTCAAATGGCTTTTCCAATAGTGCGTTAGGAACTTTATTCCAATCACAGGGTAGAAATTCAAATGAAGAAACATTATTTAGAGAACAGTTCCTGCATAGATTCTGCCTGATTCGTGAATCGTCAATGTCCGTAAAAATTACACTTTTAGCATTATTATTGAGAGCTGCTATTCCGCACAAGCCAGTTCCAGCTCCCAGCTAATATATATATCCTCGACTCATCAGCGCATATTTACCTCCACAATGCACTTATCGGATAAATCAATATGCCCTGAGTAAATAGCTTGAGAAAGCAGTTCTGATGATCTCCAGGGATAAAATGCGTACTCGGCCAGACAAACAGTTGAAATTTTTATATTATCTGTAATGCCAAGTCGATTCACGAAAGCGAATTCTCTAATATCCATGGGAGTTAAAATGCATACGTCACTAGCCCACTGTGTTTGTGATATAGGCCACAAAAAACAATCAAGACCAACTATGACCTTGAATTTCTTTTAACAACTGTTTATGTAGTTATTTTAAAGGAATGCAGCATTTTAAATAAATCAAAAAGGAAAGTTATAAATGACAACCGCATTAATCGTTCTTATGAATATCCATAAATGGGAAATAGTCTTTATAGAAAAGTTTTCGGAGAACTTGTACGTCCAATTGTGGTCGTATTAAATACGAAAATACAGAATATTGTAGCTTAAAATTTACCTTAGCCAATTCGCCTCCATTTAAAATATTCTGAGTTAAAAATTTAAACTTTCTTCCATCACTTTTAAAATAGTCGTTAATAGTTCAAGCAATGGAATTTGATCGATGTTAATTTTTCATTATAATTAAATCTCAATCGTACAAGTTGCAAGAGATAATAAACGCTTGCATACGCAATTCAAGTGCATTTTAAAGTTCCTCTTATTTATGGGAGCTACCAAAACTGAATTCATCTTGATATCCTTCTCGCACTGATACAGCTACCTCAGTTATTTTATGTTCACTTGTCTTTATTTCAGTTATTTCATGTTTTACAGTTATCTGAATAATAACCATCCGCCTAGCCATCTTTAGATTTAAAGCAGTAAAGATCTAAAACCCTTTCTTTAAGTAGCATTCGGATTATTTTCCGGGGTGGAAATGGATGCTTTAGTAAAAATATGACTTATATCATCACATTATTCAAAGACTCTTCTAATCTCACAATAACCCTTGTAATTACGGTTAAATAACATTGTTTCATTAAAAATTTTGCCTCGGTGAACAGTTATTTCAATTTCATTGCAAATTGAATAATGTTAAACCGGAGATTTACCACAATCCAGATTAAAATAGATGTCGAATATTTTGTGATCGGCTCTTAGAAATAATACTATAAAAGCCCCAAATAACTATCGCCATTGTCAATTTTTTTAGTATGAGGCACTGTAATCATAGTAATACTTTTGATACAATATGCCTAAACCGCGTTCCTTTGCAGTTAAAATCATTAAAAGTGTTTAATTTAACTGCGTAAATCTGTAATTGGGAAATATTTTTCCGTGATTGGTTGAATCTTGACTAACTGCAATTCTTTTATAGCAAGGATAATTAACTTACTTATAAATCCTTTAAACGACTTCCATGTGCAAGGAAGCATCTAAAATTTATTAATTCTAAACATATTGGATTGATTGTCTTTTAAAAGAGAAAGAAACAATATTGCATTAAGTCAGATGAAGAATAAAATGATTTGGCATAAACACTTCTCACATATCGATTTCCTCAAAAATTGTATAATCTATTCAAAACACCTAACATTATTTACATCTGAATGTTCCATGGTCACCAGATAAAGTAAATATCTTTTAAGAAAATCTACTTCTAATTATTTCTCTAATTTAAATTTCTAATTGATTAATTTATCACATAATGGATAACTGAGTTACTAAATATGATAGATAACTATGTATATGCATGTCAATTGGCACAATTTATTGTAATATTTGTGCATATTTGAGGCTTCAAGTTATCCATTAACCAATCTGAATTCAATTGCACTTAAACTGCGAGTGACCTGCTTATTGATTTAATGGCTTGATAATTATCAATTATTGCTAATCCTTGTATATATAAATATATATACCAGAGTGCTTAGCATTGACTCCATTTGCGCAGTTTGACTATGAAATATTTCTTAATCTTTCTCGCTTTTGCAGCAGCAACTGCGATCGCTTATCAAATACCATATTACATTTTCATGGACTGCTATGATCCCATTTGCAGACTTAAGAACATGTATGGATTTCATTGCAAAAATGGTCTCTGTTCTTACGTCTGTAATGCTGGTGGATGTCGGTCTGATGGTCTCCCAAGTAGGAGTATGCTCGGTGCGTCAAATCTAATTTTCTATGGTTGTGAGAACCCAATGTGTGTGATGGATGGTTTCTATGGGTATGGTTGCTATAGTGGAGCATGCCAATTCATTTGCTCAGACACCGGTTGCTATGAGGGCACTCGCGTGAACCCGGAATCCAGAAAGACAAGGAGAAACAGGAAGAAGAAACTCGGTGAGAAATATGTTAAACTTCAAGAGGAAATTGAGAGTCGGGAGAAGAGTGAGTCTGAAAAATCCAAAGATGAAATCGCAACTTCCGAACCGGTCATCAAGACAACAACAACAGTGGGACCTTTGTCACCAAACCACAATGTAGCCATCACAACCGCTGGAACTAAAACTTTTATTGATGAAGCCAAAACTACTGTCCCAACGCCGAAAGAAGACAGCCCGACTCGTTCTCCCACCTCACTAGCCAAGGTAACAGAGGCTTCAGAAGGTAAAGCTGCAGATTCAAGGATTGCACCAGAATCCAATCCTCTGGAAGAGAAGAAGCCTCCAAAGCAAACAACAAAGAAGGAAAATAAGAAAGTAGAAAATGAACCAATGGAAGTTGCCAAGAAGAAGGAGAGTAAGAAAGCAAAACCGAAGAGAATGTAGTTTATTGAAGAACCTTGTCGATTTGCAATGGCATTTCTTTCTTTTTACTGAGGCTTATGTCAATTAAAATCCAACGAATTTGACTTGTTTTTAATTTAAAAATCGATTTTTCTTCACAATTCAGAAACTCTTACTAAATTCAAGCCATTTTCTAAATGGTAATTTTATGGATTGGCTCAAAATTACGCATAAAAGCACAGTCAATTTGTCATCTGGTTACTTGTGTGGAATGAATTTATCCCAAAGCAATACATTCTTTCTCCAGCTTCTGAATACATAGATTTATTGGAATTAAGATTGGTGACTTCAAAGAGAGTTTAAGTGCAAATCTAGAGACTCAGTATTGGCAAGGAAGTTAGGTACTCATTTGTAGTAGTACTCATTAGTACTCATTTCTTGTAGTTTTTGGAATAAATCAATTTTGGGCTGTAAATGAAAATCGTTACCTGAGTAATTGTTGGAATTTTTGAGATCTCGGCCTATTTGTCATTTTTTGGTTTTGAATAACTTTGACAATCAATTTGTCTTTATTAAGGAGGAACCGCATAACCCCATAACATTCAAATAGTCGAATGCTCTACCACTGGGGTGCGCGATAGACTTACCTCCACGTGGTACACCCTGGACAACGTAAATTCATACTGCAAAAATGTCTAGTACTCGTCATTTGGGGCTCTTGATAAATGTCACAAAGACTGCCATTTGGAAAAAAAATAATAATATTCAATTAGACTTTGTTACAAATAACGTTTTCAATGGTATCTCGCCGTCATTTATTGCCAAATACCCATCTTTTTATGTCATCTTGATGAGCTCAATCAATAATTTTGTTGAAATAACTAAATATTAGAATCTAAAAACTGCACACGCTTCTGACCGTTAAATCTGTTGGAGGTGCAACAAATATCACCGTTCTCTACTGTGAAAGAGGGTTAGTCGGTCTGAAGAAGAATGAAAGGATCAGCAGTCATACGATCACTGGAAGCGTAACTCACAAAAAGGCGAATTAAAAACCTCACGCTAATGGCAGATTGAAATGGGAACAAGACTCAAACAGAATTGAATCGCATGAGGAATGCAACTGAAATGAATGGGACACGCGGACTTGACAGTAGTCTACCTAAGTTGAGGAAAATAACATTTAGGCTTAAAGACAAGATTTTAATGATTGCCATGGCTTGCTAGTATTTTCAAGCCAATTATTAAGCTTAAGTCTACATAACTTAGTAATAATAATAAATAATGCAATGTATGCTATGTATTAAAGCTAAAAAACATTTATTTGGGCTACAGGCCTGTTCTTGCCTTCTTCATAGAGTGTGAAGGGTGATAACTGAATGAAGGGCAACTAAGATTCATAGAAATGGGAAATCGCACCAACGTCTGCCTCAAATCTAATTAAATTTCGTTGAGCATGCCTAAAAGTGATCTTGATTGAACTAATTGGACACGGATTCTATTTCATAATTTGATAAATGCACTCTATTTAGTCTGTCCCTTTTGTACCCGTGTATATTAATGCAACAAATCTCTTCTAATTCGGTGGAATCTCTTATTATCGCTCAAATACTCCATAAGACCATCTTCTCTCTTGCAATTATCTCCATCAGAAATCGATTATCGATTTGCAATGGAAAGTGCAAGCAAGCATTCGCTCTTCAAGTCAGCGCGGTTTTATGAAGACTTTTAATTATTGTAGCAATAAATCAACATTGTATACCATGAAGAAAGCACCGTCTCCTAGCAGCTGCTACTTTTGATATCTCTCTGTCTCTTAGTGTCATAGCAACCATTTTAATATCTATTGTTTCTCATCCTCAACATTTGATTAAATAAACTTACTCTAATCACCATAGCAATTTGAAATGCTTTCTAATTGCCATGTTGAGAGCATGGAGGGATGGAAAGAGAACGGTCTTTTGTGTTTAGAATCATTTAATGTTCCCCGTTGGTGAGTCCTATTAGGCGCCAAGGAAAACTGTGAAGATTATGCAGCCCTTCCTCATATACCTTGTAAGTTAATTTTCACTAAATTTTAAAGTAATCTGGAACTTTACGTACTTTGAATATCTTGCCGTAGTTTGAATAAAGTTGTAAGTAAAAAAGTTGTTCATACTGTGAAGTGCTTATATATGATACAAGCTTGTTTCTTGAATTTTGACAGTAATTAATTATTTCGTTTTTTGTAAATTTTCAGTTTGTAGCAACTATTTCTCCCAATTAATTTAAATAGAAATATTTCAGAATACAATGGTTGGTCTTTTAAAATTCGACAAATTACATGAATGCATTAAAATTGACCAGGAGGCTTATGTACTTCATGCCTAAAATGATTTTGCTACTTAAGGAATAAGGGAAATTAATTTTCTAGTTACAATTTATACAGAATGTGATGTTATGAGAGGTTCAGTGGTTAGAAGGGCTTCAGTGGTATACTCAATCCATGCACAATTAAACAGTGCACCTAAACATTCTGGAGAGTGCAACCGTGTGTGCAGCTGGACTTCCCAGCTTATCAAATATTAATATTACCTCAAAGAATATTAAATTCATTAAATTACTCATCATATTTGCTGTGAGTATAGGTTTAATAAACTCTATACTCACTAAAAGGCTGTTTCCTCTTTATCGTTGACGTAATTGAGCGAGTTAAGGGAACATTTCCCAATGAGGCTATTTTGCCATATGGATTACTGTGGACGAGTCATAACTTGTTCACGGAGCCATCTGCAACACATCTTTATCTGTAGTATTGATTTGGTGTGCTGATTTTGTAAATTACATGTTTTTTGATATAGGAGAACTATTCAAGTAGAAAAATGGCCCATTTTCACTCCACAACAGAACTCACAAATAACACTTTTCAAATAGAAATTTTGGATGGCATTTATCAACCATCCGAAATCAATACTAATGCAAATTTAACGCATCTGTTTTGGCTTTAGGTATTCTTCACGTTTCAATATTTAAGTTACCAGTCCACTGTGACTGATGTGTGTGATAATGAAAGAATTTTCCAAGCATACCACTACTGCTCTTATGCATCGCACTACGGAGTAAGTTCAGTAATTCCTACTTATTATTTGTTAGTACAACTTATTAATTTGTGTTACCTTTCCCAGTTGGATGTTGAGTCATGCAATCTGCAATGTAGGAAGTTGTCCTACGATTGTTCAGCTTTGATAGACACCGTTATCTGCATGTGTGGTGATATTCCAACGGATATGGTAGGAAACTCATACACTTGTCCCATATCCCCGATTGAAATTCGGTGTAGACCTGGAAAGGGAGTCACTGCTGAGATTGACGTAAGTCATTGAGCAAATTTTCTAACGATTTCTTATGTCTAATACTGTTTTCTTTTCTCTAACTAAACGTTCATTGTTTGCTTC